TCTCTATTATCACTGAGCTCGCAACCCAGAAGTGCACAGAGAGAAATGGACAGACCATTGTGAAGCAGAGCCAGGTGGGATGAACCAGCTGCCTCCAAGACAGCAAGGGAGTTCTGTGGAAGGCTCCCAGCCTAGGCCTGGCAGGTCAGGACGGGGAGGGACATCTGGGGACGGATCCCAGCCCAGGCTGCCAGGACATTGCTGTTTCCCTGGTGCTGGTGGTAGGAGTGAGGCTAAGCTGATGGAGAAGTTTATAATGTCACTTAGGGACAATTAAATTATACACATAGTGATGGAGAGAAAACAAACTGATCCTGAGAGGCAGAATGGGTGCTGTCTTTCGTAACAGGTGGTACACGTAACAGGAGATTCTGGGGAGTGCCTACAACTCCAGCTTCAAATAGGAAGCGTATTTAAAACCTGCATTCAATTCCGAAGTCACAAGTAAGATTCTGCCCCTGTGGGTCTGTGTGCATTTCATTTGTGATTCTTGAAAATAGATTAAAATTATATAAGCCAATGATCTTTATCAAATTACCTCTTTGAGGCCTAACCTTATCTTTCTTTTAATTTGCGTTATATTTGTGTGACTTTTAATGTGCATTCTGTTTGTGTGCCAGTATCTGGATAGGTCTTTGTAAATTCACCTAATCCTTTCTTGGAATAAGATAGATTTAAAGGAAAAACAAACAAAAAGTCAATAAATTTGGGAAGCTAACCGTCTGTGGCCACTTCTCAATTCCAGAGGCTGGCCAGTCACCTTCAGGGATAGCTAGGGCACAAAGGCCAGCTCACAGCCGAGTGGAGCGTGGACATCATCACATGTCCTTCCTCAGAGCACATGACATCTTGTCACCCACACCAGTCATTGTCTACAAAAGTATCCTCCACGGAGCTGGATGAAATACTAGCCAGAGGAGTGAGTGGCAGTTGTAAGGAGATAGGTGGAGGGGGAGACCGTCCTGTGGTCCAACGTTGTCGCTCGACTGAGAATTCAAAGTTAAAGGACGTCTTAGATGCAGAACTTTTAATAAGGTGACAGTGACTGTTAAGTTCCAAGAGGGAACCACAGACAATGATGATGACGGGTTTCCTGAACCTGTCTGAGTACAGACCTTCCTGCTTCTTGCAGAGCAAGAATGGCACAAAACCCTCTGAAGGACCCTTGGCATGTCCACAGAACCTCCCGGAAGAGAGGAGGCTTCACTGTCACGCGTGGTCGTGTTTCAGAACCCCCCGCCTGCCCCCTGGCTGGGGAAATGGCTCCTGCCCTCAGGCCCCCGAGACAGGAGGCATAGGGCCCTCCTCTAAGGGGCTGCCACTGGAACTGTCCCCTCCCCGCTCCTTGCAGAGGAGCCAGTCCTGCATTTGCCCATTGGGGCCCCCTGGGGGGTGGGGCCAGAAGCTGGAACCCTGGGAGTTTTTTAATCAGGTTACCGTAGCCTATTGCTGAGAATCGAGTCATGTGACCTAAGGCTGAGGTCCTTTGTTCAGTAGTGATGATAACACCCATGTCACTATGACAGTGCTTTTAAAAAACCCTGTCTAGAGGGCAATTTGGCGGGGGGACCCTCAATCTTCACTATGACCCTGAGATGAAAATTGTAGATTTCAAATTTCTTCCACAGGACAAAAGATTTAAAATAAAGCACCGTTGCATTGTGATGTTGTTGACAATGAAATATCCCCTCTACACCTGCATGGTCGGTTTCATCGTGAATGTTCTGGCTAAGTGAGCACCCACGTGGCCGTTGCCACATGTACATATATGTCTGTGTGTGATGGAGCTCACGAGCTGTTTACATACACATTTTTCTCCTGGATTTGTGAAAATACAGAGAAGTCAGGGCGGGCCCTGGTGCCTTAGAATTCAGACCATTCTAAACACAGCAGCCAGGTGCTCCGGGGCTCTGGCATTTTCGGTGCCTCCCAGCAGGTACGTGGGGGTGTGGTCGTTAGGAACAGTGCAGATACTGCCAAACTGCACGATGTTTCAAAGCAAAAGGCAAACTTCCACTGGACTCTCGAGGGGTAGGAACAGACACCCGGGGTAACTCAGGAAGTCAGAAAGCCAGATTCAGGGAGCCGACCTTGTGTTCTTTGGCAAACAGGACCTCGGCGGAGCAAGATAGCAATCTGCAAATATTTGCAGACGTAAACACGACTGAGTCAATATGAGGCCCGGTAGGCATGAAGTTAGCAAGCATTCTTACAGAGAAGGGACACTTCCCACTGCTCTCGGACCGGAAAGAGCATTAGTGGAGACCCAGGAAGAGGAGGCTGTTCCTTGTCATTCACACAGACAGTTCCCTGGGACAGATCCCCGAGTTACAGGAGAAGCATATTCCTCGTGCATTTAATATCCTTTGAAGTTCTAGGCTCACAACCGACACGGTGTTTGTTCTTCAGGTTTTAACTTGGGGCTTTTCAAATGCTAAAAGTGTACCATTCACTTTAGCAACCCTCCTCCCAGCAGCAGGAAAAACAGATTTCATAGTATCTTACCCTGGGGCATTGTTAGGACCGAAAAATTCAGCCTCACGCAGGAAAAAAAAATCTACCTTTCCTGGCAACGGGCCAACGAAACAAGAAATGCTCTTGTTATCCTCCCAGATCAATTTTCCAGATATATCACTCACTGGTCATTCAATATGGATAAGCATGATTATTCACTTATTATTTCTCAGAGTCACTCGGAGAGCAGCAAGCGGCTAGAATATATATAAATTAATTCAGTCGTTCCTTCAAGAAACCAGCGTGGGCCTTTATGGTGCACAGCAGAGTGGACTTAGCCATGAAGGTAATGAACTCATGGTGCATGGGTCCCTGTGTACACCAGCCTCCACCAAAGCTTTTAAGTACAAAGCTCTGTACTTAATTTTACAGTCATAATTTTGCACTCATTTCCCTTTGAAGAGAGGCCCCAAACTGCATAATCTTCAAGCTCCATAAAACCTTGACCAGCCTCTGGTGCTGGTGACACACAGGAATTTCAGCTCGAACCCAGGGCAACTTCCACTGAAACGGGATGTGGATGGAGCCCAAACGCAGCTCCCCGGAGCCTCAACGCCCCCTGAGAATCGGATCCCCGCCTGCCGTGTTCCTCCTCCCACCCACCCTTTTGTCCTCGGATGACCCCACTTAACTGTGAGGACTAATGGGATCTGTTGTCCCTGTCCCAGGGACAGGCCCAGGATGTCACTTCCCTGAACTTGGAGCCCTGGGTTGGGGGAGGGGACTTATAAGAGGACATCAGCTCTGTGGCTACGGCTCATTTGATACAGATCCTGCACGACTGGGCTGCTCTGAATCTGAGCTTCGGGCACTTGGGGAGGAACAACACAGAACCTATTCTGTTGTCAATTCCCTCTGGTTTTCCCTCTAAGCACTGCATCCTGAGGTAGCACAGACGTACTCTCCCATGTCATTGCTTCCTACGACGTGTGTTGCTGCCCCCAAAATCGACAGCTTGCTCGTCTCCTCATTTGTCTCCTAATACCATGAGCGTGATCATCAGGCTACCCTGGTTCATCTCGGCTCGTGACTAAAATACCTGGAATTTAGGGGCACAGACTTTTAGGTCTAGAAGCACAGGCTGCACTCCGGAGCTGGGCTGCCTGTGGACACCGAGGCCCATCGGATAGCAGCCGCAGTGGGTTTCTTGGCTGCTTCACCCGTGAAGACACAGGGAAGCGAACTACAAAGGCCTCACTGGCCCTGCCCTTATGAAATCAGCAGCACCATTGTTTTGGCTGAAACGCCCTGGGGATCTGGGAAGAGCGCCTGTATGGACTCCAGCTGTGTTACCCTAAGTGGGGTTGAACCCAGAGACCATTTTTCAGAGCACCTACCATCTTTCAGATAACTACTTTCTTGACTTGTCTTTTAACAGGAATGTCTGTTTGCTCATTTTTTTTTTCTGTTCCATCTCAACCAAGTAACACTTATCAAATAAAACTTCTTTTCTGGAACTTTACTTTTAACATTATGTGTGGTTTTCTCTCTCACGCCCTCTGTTCTCTCTTCCAAGGTGGGGGTGGGGGGCAGGCTTCCTTTGTGCCTGTCCCGTGGGAGGGTGTGCCACCGCCGGGCTGTCCCCTCTGTCCTCAAGTCCTTTCCCTGTCTGTAAACTGGCCCCTGGGAAAGCTACCTGAGTGGCATCAAAGAGCCAGGTGTGTTGGGTCAAATCTGTGCCCTTCAATGGCACAGCATCCTTGAGAGGCACAGGGCAAGTGAACCTGCCTTGGTTCATGTTGCTCCCCTGCCGTCCAGGTCCCCAGTTCTGCCGCCCAACCCAGCCCACCCCCCAACCCCTGCCATGGCACAGGGGAGCTGTCTGAGAGGAGGGCGAAAGGCAAGGGAGAGGAAAGATGGCTAATGACCTCTGCCTGACCCACCCCCTGTACTCACCCCTTACAAAGAAAGCACCGCACTCCCCTTTGCGAGCACAGAAGGTAACACTAATCCTGCCATAGCTCTCTGGCTGTTTTTGGAGTAGAGTTCTTTTTACTTCAAAGAGGAATGAAAACAACACATTTGAAGATACCAGCTGACTCCAGTGGGAAGTGCTTGAACTGTCGTGGGGAAAAGACAGTAGCCGAGTTACTCATAAATGAAAGCCCGAAGGAAGTGATTAGGGAGGGTTATACGCCTTAAACAGCCCTTCCCAGGGGCCGTCCTCAGCCGCTGTCCAGGGCTACGGCTCCTTCGGTGGACGGTTCTGTTGGCTCTGAGGCCCAGCAGGGTCCGCCAGGCAGCCTGCACAGGCTCTTAGGCCACGTGTGCGAGGAAGTCAGCCGCTCCAGCCTCCGGCCCGTGAGAGGGGGTGCGGCAGGAAGGAATATTTCAAGTACTTGACGTTTACTGATTAAGTCCCCAAACGTTTGCCTCTGTTCACTGCCTGAAGCCACATATTGGTGGTTTTCCTTGCACCAAGCACGTCATTGTCATTCAGGTGTATAATTACACACACACACCCCAGGACAAGAGAGAGCAAGCAGCCTTTCCAGGTCCCTCTTTGCAGGCGAGGGCTGAGCTCGGCGTGCAGCAGCCAGCAGAGCTGCTGTTGTTGGCTGCCGGGGACTGACTGCCGGTGCGGGGAGGCCGGGGGCTCGCGCTCCCTCTGTCCCCCCACGCAGGGCTGCCTGCACTGCTTACAAGTGTGAAGGGGGGAAACTAGGGAAAGAGCACTTTCTATAAAATGACCACAGCTGTTGAGGAAGGAAGGATTGGTAAGAGGGAGGGAGGACTTTTTAAAAATGTGTTTTCCTTAAGCAACCAGAATCACAAAATTCAACGAGGTCTATTTCTATAAAACCCCCAAACAGCTTGTGTGTGTGCTGAACTCAGAGCAGAGATGGCAGCCCGGTTGTTTCCTGAGCATTTCCAAGACAGGACTCCGGCAGTTTGTTTAAACTCCTCCACTTCCCGACCTTTTGTGAGGACTTGCCGCAGGACCTCTGGGTCGCAGCTCCCTGCACGGTCGCTTATTATGTTCACAACTAAGGAAGGAAGAAACCTGACAAAAATGAAGCCCAGGACAGAGCAGCCCGGAGAGCCGTATGTGCGGTGAGTGCTTTGCCGTTCAAATGGAAGTCTTCCGAGTCCTAGTTTTCATGACAGGACGGCATTTTAAAAAGGCATTAGAGTGGCATTTGACGCTTTTCTTTTGATACTTAAGACAATTTTAAATTGAGAGACGTTTTCACCCAAAGCTGTTGTTGATCATTACATATTTGTTCAAACATTTACCAGAGTAGACAAACTGGGATAGATCCGGGGAAAGAGCTGATTGTGTGACTGTGATTTTCAGTTTTCAAAAAAATAACTTTAAGAATCACTTGTAATGTTTAAATTAAAGTCCTTCCTTTAGGTCGATAAAAAATTAAGATTAAGGTATTTTCTGATAAGAAAAAAACCTTAACATTTGGATTGAGTGTGACAAACTTTGGTCTTTAATTTTCCCAAGTTAAATATTGCATTTGTTCTGAGTTTCTGAACCTGTGACTTAAAGTAATTGCGAGGTCAAGAAACATCCATTGAACAACGAATTCTTATTTCCTACAGGCAGCTAGATGCGGAAGTGCAGAGAGGAGATAAAAAAAAAAAAACTTGTTTCACAGGAGCAATGTAGAAACTTCACCCGGCGTGACATTTATTAGCTGAGACCGGTCTGAACACACATGAAATTACACACAGATTAGAAAGCTCATTATGCAGGGTTCCTGAACAAGCTCCTGGGGTCCTCACAGTGGAGACTGTTTACATTCTTTATACCTAGCATGGAAAACTTACATAACTTTTTCCCATAAGGGTAGGTAGCAGAATTTTAAATGTTCCAGTGAGGTTTCACCCTACGGCAACCTAAACTGATTTCTCTGATGCCCAAGGACAAAGCAGTGGTGGGGGGGGGGGGGGAGACCCAGAGAACCAGACTAGCACTGACAACCAGGAGCAGAGTCTCCCCGACAGAGCACGAGAAAGCCACACTGAAACAGGGAAGTCGGGCAGCTCTTCCCCCTGATCCCTGATGGAGATCACTTACCACCCCCCAACACACACACACAAAATGAGACAACATCTGGATAGTGTTTCACTGGCAAGAATAAAGCACTTCTTTTTCCCCTGCCCCATCATTAACTAAAAAACCCGTTTTGCACATGCAAACAGCACTTGTAAATTCCCCCAGATAAGCTGGGACGTCCTGAATGATTCCAGTGAGTTTGAGAAGAACCACACTTTTTCGCCTTTTACCTTGAGAAGGAAGCATTTCAGAAATATCTCCCTCACGCCCCGCCGGCTCCAGCTCTGCTCTTACCTGCCTGGCGAGGAGGCTGGCTCCTGGCTGGGGGTGCACTCTGTCCGGGCAAAGGAAGGAGCCGTCCCTGCAGGTCGCCCTGGGTAGGTGTTTGGGATCTCTCAGAATGAAGACGACTCTCTCACCCTTCCCTGTCAGTCAGAAACGAGTCAGTACAAGTCAGAGTAGGATTTACCTGAAGGAGCTGGAGAGAGAGAGAAGGAGGTTGGAAGAGACTGGGCGGAGGGAGGGAGGGCTGGGGAAGGAGGGAGGGAGGGAAGGAGAGAAAGTGAGAGGGAGGGGGAGAGAGAGAAGAGTCCCTGATGTCAGCTGTGTGTCTTAAGGAAACCTACAGCCCAGCAGAGAATTCTAATGGACGCCCAGTTTGGAGTTTTTCAGACACCTGTATAAAAGAACACTAAAGCCTCTTTAAGGAATACCAGTTAATCTTTGAAGAAACTTCAGCCACTCTTCTCAAAGTCTTTTAAAGGTCTCTTTGCCTAAATAAACTACAAAGAAATAACCAGATTATTTTTTCCTAACAAATTCCCCTTCACCCCAAGTTCTCTCTCCCTGGCTGCTCTCCCCACTCCGAATGAATAGTAACATAAATCCCTGCCTCCGGGGGAAATCTGTATTTTCCCTTCTACTTTGAACGCCACTCAGCATGGCCTAAAATCGTCCTGGCTCTTTATTGTGTCCTGTGTGTTCTATTTCAGAGCTCCACGGCATCTGTCTTGGTCACCCTGTGTCTCTTGAGGGACACTTGACATGTCATAGCCCCTCAGAAAAGTGCTGGTCAAGTAGGTTGACAAAAGAGTATAAATGGAGGGTCTAATTTGTTGTTTCAGTGAACCGTAATTCTTGTCTTCTTAGTTTTGATTAACAGATAACACCCACATCAGAACAAAAGAGCACAAGGTCACCAGGGGGACTGTGTTTTTAGCTCAATGCTTTTAAGGCCATGTTGATTTTTCCTGTAGGCTGTTTTCCTTGACCAAAACGTACGCAGAGGTTGGACAGCTGTGGGCAGAGCTGGGCTCTGCTGGATCTTCGGAACCGGGGTCCGACACGTGCATGAGAATCTGGTTTCCAGAGTCCGTGCACAGAGCCTGGGACTTTTATGAGGAACGCTCAGAATTCCATCCAGAAAGCAGGAGTCTGAGGGGACGTCTCTCAGGCTCTGGGAACAGAGGCTGCAAGCTCCTCCCTTGAACGCAGTTTCGTGTCCTCTCCCCGGAGGCCCGTCCAAGCCCATGCAGGTCAGCAGCCTGCTCTACCCCGAGTGCGTGGAGACCCCAGTAAGTTCCAGAAGAGACGATGACTTCCCTCAGGCGCTTTCTCCAATGAGGACCCCTGCCCTGGTCCAAGGTCCACCTGGAGGGGAACAAAGGCGCCAGCTGATGAGACACTCACCTGTCCCTGACACAGGGACCTGCACCGGCTGCTTTAAAACTGGAGGGAAGAGTGGATGACATGATTTATGGGAAGCAGAGGGTATGTCTCCTCCTCCAAGTTCTGGGGCCTGAGGAGGAACGCAAGAGACTGTCCCATTTCTCCTCCCCTCTCCCTTGACTCAAAGCCCCGACACGAGTCATTGTTTTTCCCTGTGTCCCCAGTGGGAACAGTGTACCAATGTCCTTCCCTTTTATTCCTGGGAGAAGATGGTGACCCCTCAGAGACATTGGCCCTGCAGAGGCTCAGAGCTTGAGAGTCTGAAGGAGCCACACAAGGGTCAGATTTTCAAAGCTGGAAGTCTCACTCCCAAGCCATAGCACCAGACGGACCTTGAAGGAGGACATCCTAACAATCCCATGTGACACCGATAAACACAGAGGGGGAGAAAAATAAAAAGGGAAAACCCAGAACTCAAAATCCGATCCTGTGCTCCCTGGAATAGCATGCCCACACTGTTTCCTCTGCCTGGAGTATTCTCAGGTCTTCATTCATCTGCCTGGTTCATTATCACTGCTCAGGCCTTAGCCCAAATGGCATATCCTCCAGGATGTCGTTTTTAAGGTCCTTACCTCATATGGTCCCAATCCAACTCTGCATCTCAGTACTCCCTTCTAGTTTGAATGCCACCAAACACAGTTTCACTCATCCCAACTCTATCATGTCCCATGTATTCTATTTCAGAGCTTGGCTGCACCTGTCTTGGTCACCTTGTGTCTCTTGGGGACACTTGACACGTCATACCCCCTCAAAAAGATGCTGGCCAAGTAGATTGATAAAAGATTATAAATGGAGGGTACAATTTGTTGTTACAGTTGAACTTTAATTCTTATCTCCTTAGGTTTAATTAATATTTGCAGTTTCCCCTTTAATTAGCAAACTGATAATTGAGTGTTCTCTATTTATAAAGCTCTTTTAGTAATGTATTAATTTGACACTCAGGCCCCAAAGCCACGATCAGCTGCATTTTAAGGGTGGGAAAGTGAGAACCAGAGAAGGCAACGGATGAACTGAACATTACGGGGCTGGAAAGAGGGGGGTTGGGGCTCCGAGCTGCTCTTCCCACTCTCAGGCCATGCAGTTTTCATTAGGCTACATTTCTCTCAAATTAGTGTATTGTGTGAGCATGCATATGCATGTGTAGATTCCTTTGAGTATCAAGTAATACACGACATGAATTATAACCATGGCCTAATACTCTGGCAAGTTTTATTTCTTGCAGGACCATGCGTAGTAGAGCTCACATTCATTCATAACAGCCTTAAAAGTGATGAGAGAAGACAATGAGTCCAAAGGACTGGTATGAACACAGGAAATAACTTAAGTGTTGAGCCAGTATTCTCCATGTGGGTGATGTTCACCTGTTTTCCTTCTTTTTCACTCGGAGATATTCAACAATTAGATATTGAGGTCGTTGACCTGACAGAAGTCACAAAAGGAGGTGAGGCATTGTATATGTGTGGTTAACGTGTGAGGGGAGTGGGAAAGTTCTAGAATAAGCCTCTATATAGACATGTATGTGACTTCTGTCACTGAAGACAGACTTTATTTTACATGTTTTTAATAATTGAATGATCTAAGTATTTCTGGAAATTTCTGAGGCTAATGACAATGGAAATAAGGCAAACAATTAAGCTTAACGAAAAATAGTATGTGTCATTCAATCTCTAATTCACCCCACGAGTAAAATTTACTTCACAACCTGTCTCGAAAGAGTAGGGTCTGGAATCCACCATATAAGATTACTTCAAATAACAGTTAATCATTTTTTAACTGGACATGTTCAATGTTATTAATCTTATAGCCTTAAAAACAAACATGAATGACTATTTACCAAGTCACCTTTCTCTCTTTCCTTTTCTTTCTTTCTTACTTTCTTTCTTTCTCCCCAATTAATTAAAAGCAAAATCCTTTCATGTGTCAAATTTAAATAGAATGTAAATCTAAAGTCTAGACTTTTACCCAAAGTTCCCAAAAGATGTCTGCAACCTGGGCAGAAAAGACTACAAGAACTAACTTTTTCAAGAGAGCCATTTCCCAAGAATAATTTCCAAAAACGAAAAAAAAAAATTACTGTAGTGCATCCAATTCTCATCTTGGCTTGAATCAGGACAAAAAACTTTGAAGTGTGATGAGAGGGAATAAAAATACACTTTTATCTTTGACTAAATCTACTTAAGTTGAGTTAGATGTAGAACTATTTGGGGGGAGCTATGTCAGTTTTTAAAATATCATCAAAGCCTCCTCTAGCCCCCCCCCCCCAGCTTAAAGAGCTTCCACAGGCCAGGCAGGGTTTGGTCATTCGCCTCCAGTTCACTCCCACCATCTCTGTCCCAGAGGCAAGTACAGTGTCTCCCTGGTATGTCCGTGAGCTATGGCGAATGAAGGATGCCCATTTCAATCCTTATAAGACTCTGCAGGCCCCAGGTGGGGACTTGCTTGCCTTTGGCCTGTCCAGAGAGAGCCTTATCTCAGGAAGTCACAAAGTTGAAATCTTCTCTTGGAGTAGGTGTTCTAGAAGCAGATGTTGAGACAAAAATTCAAACATAATTGATTTAAAATGTGCTCCTGGGAGGAATTTGAGGGAAAATAAGGGAAGCTCAGCAGGGGAAGGAGGGAGTCAAGCAAGGGTGTGATTTCAGGCAAAGGCCATGCCCTGACTGATTCTGGAGTGAAAACAGCATCTTAGGTCAGGGAGCTGGGCTTTCATGCTCTTGGCCCAGTCAGCCTCAGCTAAGAGTAGCAGGGGTGACCGGCGTGCTGTCTCCCAAGTGTGCCTGCTTTCTGCATCTGCAAATCCGCGCAGTCCTAGGCAGTCCTTGGGGTCTGCTAGTAGGGGCTTCAGGTGATCAGAAGTAGTACACATGGAAGCATAGAAATGGGCACCCAGAAACAATGAAGGGGACCCAAGGGAATCTGAGCTGATCACCAACAGCTTTGGTTACAGTTGCTAATTCTGTGAGGGCTGGAATGATTCCTTTCCGCTGGCACGAGGATGCCCCCTGACTGTGGCCCCTCACTCCCTCGATGTCCCCCACCCTCCTCCTCCATGCAATCAGGTTCCCAATCAAAATATAACTGGGAATCTCAGCACCAATTTGGACTTCGATTTAGGGTCCACATGTGTGGTCTGATGGAGCACGTGGTCAGTCACCCACAGTGCCAGAGGGATGGATGCCTTTTAGCACTCACAGAAAAACCCTTTGCTATTGATATCATGAGGGGGGAATTCAGTGAATAACTAAATTCGGTGCCTTTTCTTTGCTGATTAGGAAGACTGCACAGTCCATGCACTGGAGCAAGTTACAATTCAGCAGAAAGATGGGTGATTAGCTGACCATAATTCAGGATAAGTGGTATGTGATCAGAACATTCTAGAAGTCAACAGGAAGGTCAATGAACTTGACCTTGAACTTGAAGGTAGGCTTCTAGAGGAGGGATCAAGGCCTCCACGGATGAAGACAAAGAAGGGTTATAGACATTCCAGGAAAAAGCCACCTAACAAATGCTAGCAAAGATTAGAAGAGCCAAGCAATCTGACCTTTGGGACAGTTAAACACTGTAGCTCTAACCTCAGCCTCACAGGGTTTACGTAGCAAAAATCACAAGAAAAACATGCACTCAGTTGTAGACTCCTTAAGAGTATTCCATTAAGTATGAAAGGACATACGTCCCACTTGCTTTCATATGACCTTATGAGAAAAAAAGTCACCCTTCTCTTAATAACATCAGGATAAAGTCCACATTTATTAGCATCAACATTTTGTTAACATTATTAATATTTAAACTAAGAAATTGAAGCTCATATTTGTTCTCTACCATTTTTACCTGCCAGGTGGATGTGTGAGTTACCAATCAGAAATGAGTATGCCCAGAATGAACCCCACCAATCCCATGCTGTGAAGGAAATTCCCCGTCCTTGGCTCCACTCCCCCCCATTTTCATGGCCCCTCCCTCCCCTGTGCTCTCACTTCTCCCACCCAGCATCTTTCTCCCACTCTGCCTCCCTCTTCATGGCCTGGCTTCGGGAAAGAGGGAGACTTTTACTAACGGTTACATTCAGAAAGAGAACAAGGAGAAGTGTCCCAGAGGCTTCCTTAGAAGGAACTACTGGAGCTCCTCCTGTCCAGGTTTTTACAGTTTCTGTTGGAGGCACTGAAGGCCAGACCGTGACTTTCCCGGTGTCCGCAGAGCCAGGAACTCAGGGCCTCCACCAGTACCTCATCGAAGTTCTCTCGCACCAGCCTATGCTATGTTCATCCCCACATTTACCTGTTTGTACACATCTAAGTGAGTCAAGTGGCAGAAACCTTCATTCAAGTTGTTCCTGGTGTAAGAGGAGCTGTGAGTATCAGTTTGGGGCTGTCAGAATGGCTCTTCCCTGGACTTGGCTGATGGGCACGGAGACTTAAGCCAATGAAGGTTTAATGGAACAGTAAGAATAATTGCTCCAAAGGTTCAAGTATGAGTAGCTCTCCTGGTGGGCACTGCACCGGACTGGGCAGGAAACGAAGGAGTGTCTTCGGGCCCATTTGGGGGCTGAGATGGTTATTGAACAGATGCTGCCATCCCGGTCCCCAAAACTGCTGGTGCTTCAGAGGCTGATTGCTGAACTCTCTTGGGACAGCTCTGAAGAACATACGGTCTCGCCCCCAAACAGTGTCACTAGGATGGTGACCGGTTCTGGCATTCTCTCCCTCTTTGCTCTTCCCCATAATGTGCCATATGGCCAAACAGCTGCATTAACTTTTCCCTGCTCTCAATTTGCCTTGACCCAGAACTCATAAGCCACTTAATATTTCTTCCTTACTGAAGATTCAGACGGGTAGTGAAAAAGGTCAATAAGTGTGTGGTAAGTGTGGGGCCCCCTTCTGTTGCACAGTCATGGCCACAGGCCAAGTTTTAGGGCATGATTTCGAGTGAGGAATGTGGCTGCTTTGTGTTCTGCAAAAGACCTGAGACATTTTGAAATTATCAACAACAATAAAAATTTTTGAAAAAGAGCTTCCGAAGCCAACTGCACGAGTCATAGGGATGAGGCCAAGTAAAGGTCTCCCCAGGGACCTGACAGAAGAGCTTCCCTGTGGGCGACCTGGCTTTTACAAGTGTCCTAGGCCTTGCAACGGGCCATTGACTCCTATGTGGCTCACAGAAGACCTCTCGTAAGGGGAAGGCGAATAGCTCCCGCTGAATTCTCTAGAAGTTTCTATGTTCTTAGATGTTTTTTCATCTCTTGGTTTTTAAACCAAGTCCCATTGGACAAGCCCTCCTCGCTGCTGATCTCCTCCAGCAAACCTCCAGTCACCCGGATCCTCTTGCCCGGTGTGGCTCTCGAGGGAGAGGCACAGGGGAGTGAGAACCACCTCCAAGGTCCCACTGGAGGCTTCCCCATCTTCCCACCATGATTCCCAACCAGAGCAACCCATCGGAAGGAAAGCACTGGAGCCATCATAGGGCTTCCTCACATTCTCCAATGGGATGCCACACAAACGATCCTGAAGTGCAAATGTTACCTCCAAGATGTTCCTCTTTAGGGCGAACAACCATCCCGGCTCTCCCACGACTGTCCCAGGTTTAGTGGAAGTTGGCCACCTTCCTTCAAACCTCCACTGGGGTTTGTGGGTGATTCTGGATCCCCACCCAGAGCGTCACTTGGGCGTTGGTGACTGCTGACTACCTGATAGTGAGGCGATTTCCTCTTGCCTTATTGGAGCGGGACTTGGTCGCTTGTGCAACCAACTGCACAGTGTGTGTTAAATACGCAGTTTGTCCTGGTTCACTTCGGACCTGCTCTCACTAAGTGAGCCACTCTGCAGTGGCCCCCAGCCATGAAAGGTACACGGTGATGACCATGCTTCACAGTTGACAGTGTGGGTGGTTAGCAGCAACGCAAACTTGAACAAGGAGGGTGACCATCTCACCAGAACAGGGAGCACCACCGCCACCGGAATGAGCCCACCTTCCTTTCCGGGCCCACCGGCACCAACCCTCTGGCAACAGTCTGGTCTCAGTGCTGTGACCTCTGAATCGATGGTGTTGGGACCCTCCAGGCCAGACAGGGAGGCACCTGCAGCCACAGACCCCACGGCCTCCAGATGCAGACCCGCCACTGTACACAGGGTGCACTGGATCGAGGTCCAAACTCCAAAAGTGACATTTATTTTTTATTTTGAAGCACCTCCGCAATTATCTGAGTCATGTCCTTATATTTCTATTTTGTATTATTTATGTCATCACTTCTATTTTTCCGGTATTACTGAGAAATAATTGACACATGCCACTGGACAAGTTGAAAGCGCACACCGGGATAGTCTGATTGATGTGCTCCGTGAGGTGATCGCCACAGCGTCAGCCCTCCCCTCATATGGACACAAGAAAAGGGGAAAAGGAAAAGAATCTGTTTGTCATGGGAACGCTCAGAATCTACTTTCTCAACAGTCTCCCTGCACGTCCGACAGGAGCCACGGTTAGAACACCAAAAATAAGCCCGTCCAGCCAACGCTGCTATCGCCCGGAATGATCCCAGATCAAGGGGCTCGACGGCAGGAGTGAGGGCTTCTACAGTTCCCCCGTCTTCACACTTCAGCCAGTGGCTCTCGGTTAGTGACAAAGCACACATTTCAGCTTTGAGAAACCAGTCAGGAGGGCACCTTTCTTCTGGGGCTGGTGACATCAGTGGACACGCGATATGTCCGATTTGAGCTGCTGGGGGCAGGCTCGGTCCTTTGTCACCAAGTCCCGTCAAACTGTCGCCCCTCTGCAGGCCTCCCTTGTTCTGACATGTCTTGCATGACATTGTGGCCTTGGAGCACAGAGAGGGCCTCTTTCCCCCTTCTCCCGGGGTCAGAGTCTGGCCTCCGGCGGGGACCACTGGGGACAGGGGGCCTGTTTCCCAGTCTTTGCTTCACTCTGCATTTAGCAATGGTGTTGCGCTGTGACTCCCTCATTTGTTATGTTCTGAGTCACTTCCCTGGAGGTCCATGCAATTTCCACCTCTGATAGCAACAGAAAATCATGAAAACCCCAATTCTGCTTTAGCGCCCCTATTTCTTCATGGAAGGGGAGTCTTGGAGAATTCTTGGGACTCATCTTAAGTACTGATTACTAGCAGAACAGGGTAAACAATGAGGGT